ATAGCCAACATTATTTAAGATCTTTAATTCACACATGACATTGTAATCTTACAAGGTCGTGACATATTGTGAGATTTTTAAGTTACATTTGATCTTGCAATCATAAAAGATCTTGTAAAAATCTTATGAACATACATTATCTTGCAATCTTGCATGATCAATTTAAATTCATGAACATAAAAGATCTTGTAAATAAGATTTTAAGTGATCTTACATGATTAAAATCATGTAAGATCATGAAAATTATTGCTAATGATCTTGCAAGATTGTGCAAGGCAAGATTTTACAAGATGCCTATCCATATGACATCTTACATTCATCTTACTGACCCTTATAATGTCACACAAGATCTTGCTAAGATTTTTTATGAGGGAATCTAATGCCTAAATCTGTTGATAAAGTACCTTTTTCTGAGCCTCCTGTCCTCCATTGCTTTCATTTTTTACCATAAGGTGTAGTGCTACAGAGCATACACATTGGCACGTGCCTTTGATACGCTCACTCATTATCACACAAATACGTTAATAACATCCCCGCTGCCGAATACATCACATTTGTATGACCTCGCTCTCAGGCCTGCGGCCCTCAGTCTTTGTCATACAAATGCAATGTATCCCTAGTTGGGGTGTTATAATGTTTAATTAAAAATGTTTATCTATTGCTTTGTACTAATTCTGCATAACAATATATTTATTGTAGTGTGTTTCAAGAACTTTTAGAGAAGGCTCAAAATTCATTAGAAGCAGTGGCACAGTGCTTTCTTGATAAGGTATAATGCATGTACTACAATATTTTTTTATTTATACTATCAGCACTCTGAATTTAAGCTCTATGTCAGCTATTGTGAAAATAAACCAAAGTCAGAGTCTTTTATCTGGACTTATATACATCAAGGAGGCACTTTTTTTAAGGTTGTTATAAGTATGATGTAGTTCTGTCATTGTTATTTAATGCAGGATTTGCAGCTGAAACTTGGATTTAGAGAAGATATAGCATCATTTTTGATTAGACCAGTTCAGCGCATTACAAAATACCAGTTATTGTTAAAAGACCTTCTCAAATCATCTCAAAAAGCTGGATGGAATGTGCCTTTGTTAGAGCAAGCCTTGCAGTTAATGCAAGATGTGCCTAAGCAAGCAAATGATGCAATGGCTTTAAGCATGATTGTGGGCTATCACGGAAATATTCATGCTAATGGGCAGATAGTGTTACAAGTAAATGAAATTGATAGTGAAATTACAACCTGGGTTGAAACTAGTCCCAAAGTCATACCTACATGTAGGATTGCTTTCACCCACATGTGATATTTTGATATTTGTGTACACGATTTGTATGTCACATTGACATTTCTTCTATACATGCATTGGAGAAATAAAACTTAAAACTCATTAGCAGTTAGCATCTAAACTACCCGTTCTACTTATACTAAATGAGTGTGGCCACACCTTATTGCATGAAAAGCGCAATTAAAATGATTTGTTACAAGGAGAACAAGTCTTAAGCTTTCTAGCAGCAATATAAAAGAGATACTGAACACAGAGATACTGGACACAGATACTGTATGAAGACTGAGTCTTAAAAAAGAAATGAAATGACTGCTTTGTGTGCAATGTGGTGAAAACAATCTTAGGAGTTTTTCACTATAACTTGCTCTTTCTATTTACAAATTGTAGGATGAATTTACTGTTTATGAAAGGGCGAGGTGGGCTGTTGGGGCTCATCGTCATGTTTTCTTACTTGACCTAATGATGATAATTACAAAAGAAAAAGATAATGATGGACTTTATGTTTTTAAAGATTTTCTAAAAGTTAGTGCATGCATATGAGCCATAGTTCTTCATCAGTAAATGTCTAGGTACATAATATGACTTTAACTGAAAAGCAAGCTGATAGTCCTTGTCGTTTTGCTGTTGGAACTGGCCAAATTGGTGACTGGGACAAATATTACATACTGGAGGCTTCTAGTACAGAAAAAAAGCAAGAATGGATTCGCACCATTAAAGAAATTCTAAATCAACAATTTGAAATGTTGAAAGGTGAGCAAAATGATTGTTTCTAATTGTTTGACTAATGTTACTTTAGCTCTTAAGCAGCCAAGTGCTCGTAGCCGGAGCAGTACTGTTGAAATTGATATTTTGCCACAGAAGTACATTATTCTATTAAATAATCACTTTACTTGATGAGTGTTTAGGAGATGCTCGCCATGTCATGACTCACTTTCTAAACACTCAGATGTGTTGCAAGACATGAGTGACTCTAGTTTAGATGAACTTGGTTCAGACGATGATATCAGTAGTACTGGAAATCAAGAAAATGGTACTGAAGAAGCAACAGTATGACATACCTCCTATGCTTTCTGTCACTGATATGCTTTTCAGAAGGAAAAATTTAATCTCTATGTTGCAGAGGAAGACTGTCCTGCACCTATTCAAGGACAATATATTTTTAATTTAAAAAAAGGCCAAGTTTGTTTTGCTAAATTGACAAAGTTTTCAATGCTTATATAGGTTTATGATGTCATCAATTCAATGGGAGATTGGTGGCTTGCCAGAATACTTAAAAGTGATTCAATTGGGGAATATGCACCTGGCACTGAAGGTTGGGTACCAAGAACATTTATGGCACCTTATTGTGGGGAAAGTCCAATACTAAGTGAACCAAGTATGATGCTATTGATATTGTTGACTTTGACATCATTTTTTTAGCTAAAGATAGTAAATTCAATTTAAAAGAAAGTGGCAGCAACGCAAGACATAGGTGAGTTAGGCACTATTATAAGGTAATCAAAAAATATTATGTCATCATCAGCTTAACATCAATGAAGCCTGAACGAAGTAAAAAGAAGTCTAAGAATATGTTCAGTTCTCCAGTAAGTAATATTTGTATGTGTTTTATTTTAAAATGGACCTTAAGCAATTGACAGTATAATTAATGCACACCTTTGATGTGGATAAAATTGGTAGATTTTATTGAGTGAACGTGTGACTTTGGGCTCTGTTTTGTTGTGTCACTTTCGTCATTCCTTTGCTCCTTGTAAAAATTAATTCCCAACAAAACCTAGTGAAGTTTTTTCCAAGATCCTGATAAGATTCAGGGGTGTATGTAGGAATCTGGCGAGGGGCGCTCTAGGGTAAGAGGTGGAAGGGGAAGGGGTGGTGGCGCACCAAGTGTGCCGATTTTTTGGCCACACCCACTTTATCCTCATGGATTCCCATGGAAATTGCCGTATAATTACTATATAACCAAGTTTTCAATAGCTACCAGATTTTTTAATGTTAACATACCTGCTAAACTTGAAGTGCTAGTAGACTGTGTAGATGTACTTGTAGAACTGGATTGGCATTGGCTGCTCTTTTTGTGAAAGTAAACTAGCCATTAGCGACAGTACGAGCCAATCCGTAAAATACCGCATTTTGGACTGAAACGGTAGAAGGTGTTGCCAGTATCACGTGACGTTCAAATGAATTATAATGAGTAAAATAACAAAAAATTATGTTTTGAAATTAAAGTTTTATTGAATTGGTTTTCATCAAATCTTTCACATTACAAAACCATAGATAAAGAGAGCAAAAAGTACTAAGAAAACTGAGAGAGCAAAAACATGAAATAATATATTCAAGTACAATTGAAGCACAAGTAATCATCATCAATATCACAAGAAGCACATGCTACATGAACCCATAAGTTGCATTTGCTGCATTCAATCCAGTCAACTATGTCAGAATTATCTTGATCGCTATCTTGTTTCTTACAAATACCACAAACTTCAACCCTAACACTGTCCATTGTTTCTTTTGAACACTCTTCTTCTCTACTTGGTTTAGCCCATCGACTTAGACTTTTCCTTTTCTTTTTTGTGCTATGAAACCGAAGTTGTTTCTCAAAATTGGAGTTAGGTGCAGGCCATTTCTTAACATTTATAGAGGAAATTGTGGATGGTGTTACTTCTCTTGATGCTTTTAAAACACTAATGGCTGATGTAAGATGACTGCACACAGTATTAATAATTTCATATGAACTTTCTTTTCTGGCAAGTAGTTGTAGCTCAGACACTTTGTCTTGAAATACCTGTTTGGATGAAATAAGTGACTTAGCAGCTGCACTGGACGACTGTAGGAGCTCCTTATAGTATTCCAACCCAACTGTAGAATCGTTATCCACCTTTTCTAACCCATACTCCTTATCCACCTTTTCTAACCCATACTCCTGGTCCTCTGTAACTGTTGTATTCTCTTCTTCAGTAGCTCTCTCACAATTGTCAGACTGTGCCAGATTTCTTTCCAAATTATTAAAGGCAGGTGAAATTCCATTATCTTCCATCATATTTTGAGATTCATTTACAATCTTCTGTCTGTCATTATGTAGTTGCATATGAACTAGGTGAGTATGCTTACAGACTGTATAATGAACTGCATGATCCACACATGAGCAAACATACATATGAACACAGGCCCCACAGTTAGGACACTTCAACTGACAATCACATGACTCTTTAGAAAGATGGACAGTATAAACGGCATTATTTGAACAACTACGCACATTCCATGTATTTTCAGACAAAAAAGATGCTGCTACACCACTGTTCTTCATGACTATAGCTGTTTGACAACGTTTACGTATCTCACATTTTCTATGGGTCCTTTTTCCAATCTCATCTTTTCTCATTGCTTCAAGGATTAGATCTCGAGATATCTTTAATAATGTAAACAATAATTTATCAACTCGGCAATTCTGCTTCTTTTCAAAATAAACAGTTTTTAATTTCCTGTGAAATGCTTCAACAAACATGTTGGTGTTCACAGGTGCTCTTTTTCTAAAGCAAAATGCCCATTTCTAAATCAAAGATAAATATGTTTCATTAAAATATACACTAAACTTTGGATGTTTCTGTATCATGTGAGAGAGCACTTTCTGAAGTAGTACTTGAAAATTGGCCTCTTCCGTTTCCTCCAACAAAACTCTTAAGTGGTGATATAGTTCAATTCGGTCTTCATTTTTCGCAATATTCGCAATCAATCCTTTCCGCCAAGCTTTGTCTAAATGCCAAGTACAATACAAGTGCTTTGTTTCCCCACGACCAAAGACCCCAATCCAAGCTGTAAAAAATTGATCAGCCATATCTGACATGAATATGATTGGATTAATGGGACCTATTATTGCATGTATAGGCTTTAGAAACTCTCTCAAAAGGGCTGCATCAGTTTGATTAGCAATAGCCCATGCCACTGGAATGCCCTCACCATGATCATCTACAACTAAAACAGTAATGAGACTGAAGTCATATACAGTTGTACTGTGAGTGTCATCCATACATATTACTTTATCACCATATTTGAGCTTCATGTCACGCTGGTATTTGGTCTGAATAGCAAGTAGAAAATCTTCATTTCCCAAATTATCACATTCATTCTCCTGGTTGATACCTTGATTTTTAAAGACTAAGACTTGATTATATGGCATTTCTTGCATTTCAGCCACCCACGCAGACACACTAAACAAATCATTCTGATGCTTTTTGATACTATGTACATTCAGTTGGGATTGAATATTGTATACGTCTTGATGTGACATCAAATGTTCTCTTTTGATGGAACCAGTCACTTCATCACGGACATCATCCAATATTCTGTCAATGGAAACACCCATTTGTAGCTTAGCAGCAATACGCATTGTTGTTTCAGATGGTGTTTTAAGATGACATATATCCAAAGTGTGTCCAATATGATGATTGCAATGTGTCACCGTCACTTTCCAGTTACTGTATCCTCTGACACCTGCATGTTTGCTGTACAGAACTGGTTTATTTTACAGGAACCTTGGGTTTTAAGAGCTTTAAGGTCTTTCCCTTGGCTTTAAAGACTCCAGAGTGATGGCAATAATAGTATTGTTTGCGATTCAATCCTTGAAGACGGCAACCACTATCTTGGACATAAAGTGAATCAGATGACTACTCTTCTTGCTTTTTCCACAGATAAAACTCTTTCATAGATTCAAATGAGAGTTTATTGATTGGAACTTTCTCATTGTGGGACTTCTCCAGATGATGGATCAAGCTAGTCAAAGTTATAAATCTATATAATTATATAAAAGGCAAAAAATTGATAAAGGTACAAAAAGCCTTACTTATAGGTCTACCCAAAATACAAAGCAGGTAAGTAAATGTAGTGCTACGTACCCAGCAAAAAAATCTTACGTAAGATCTTACTTAAGATCTTATGAAACCTTACAAATGATCTTGCATGTTTAATCATGCCTGTTCTTGCAAGATCATTAGACAAGAAGTTCCAAAATCTTGCCAAGATCTTATGATAAATCTTGCCAAGATCTTATGATAAATCTTGCCAAGATCTTATGATAAATCTTGCCAAGATCTTATGATAAATCTTGCCAAGATCTTATGATAAGTCTTACATGATCAGGCATGGTCTGACGATTAATCTTACATTATTAGTCAAGATCAGGAACTAAATCTTACATGATCAGTCAAGATCAGGAATGAAATCTTACATTTTCAGTAAAGATTTAGAATTAAATCTTACATTATCAGTCAAGATCTGGAATTAAATCTTGTATGATCTTTTAAGACTCTTACTTGTTATGAACTAATATCATGAAGGATATTGTAAGATCTTGTCAAAATCTTGAAGAAATAGTTAAGTTCGGATTCGGGATTCCAAGCATATCCCATAGTATTAAAATGACTGCAATTGTAAGATCTGAGCAAGAACTTACATTGCTTAAATACATAATAATGATGTCATTATAGCTTAATTAAGTTTAACTTTGTTGAAAGTTTGCTTTCTTTATATGCTCATACTTTTGTAAAGGCTATCGTGGGTTGTCAACTACTTCCTGTGACATCACGCAACTTGTAAGATCTTTCAAGATCTTGTATGACTTAAAATGATGTGAAGCGTAAGATAATTCATGTAAGATCTTAAGTAAGATCAGGCCTGTACATCTTATCAGTGATATTGTAAGATAAGTCATGTAAGATCTTAAGTAAGATCAGGCCTGTACATCTTATCAATGATATTGTAAGATAATTCATGTAAGATCTTAAGTAAGATCAGGCATATACATCTTATCAGTGATATTGTAAGATAAGTCAAGTAAGATCTTAAGTAAGATCATGCCTGTATATAGTAGCTAAGATTGATCCAAATAAGATCTTATAAGGTTGTTCTTAATTCTTATCTCACCTTACTTTATCTGATCAGATAATACAAGATCTTAGTAAGATTTTTTTGCTGGGTAGTATTACTTGTAGCTGCTCCTCTCCATCTCTCTTTCCCTGCCCACTCCAATTCGATCTCCAACATACTTCTCAGAGCAGTTAGGGCACGAGATTCAACTTTCTCTTAAGTTTTCCTTAGATGATTCATCAGGGTGCTTCTTAGCAATGTGTTTGTTTTGAGGGGTCCGCAACGAAAAAAAATCTGGTACACTTTGGGGAAAGTCCAAAAATTATGATCCGGGAATCCAAAATAATCTTAAAATCTAGTAGAGTATCAAGATAATCCAAGAATCCAAGAAAATAATCCAAAATCCACTGAAATCTGCCAAAAATTCAAAAATCCAGTGGATTAATCCATGGAAATCCAAAAATCCAGAGAAAATCCTAACCAGTATCCGGAAAATTACTGAAGACTGTTTTATTATCCATTATTAATTAAACAAAACATTAATAAAAACATTAATTAATAAGTCATTAGTGATAGTGGTTTTTCAGTTAGTATAATGATTCTAAAATAGGAACAAACAGTACATCTCAGCAGTCACAAGTACTGAGTGTGAAACCAAGCATGAACATGCATCGATACTAAATATAGCAGTTTGAGCTGCTATATTTAGTAGTAGTGCATGCTAAAAGCAGAGCTACTGAAACTTTAAAGTCTTTGTGATAGTCAAACTTCCTTGCTCTCAATTCCTTCTTCTCTCGATTCCTTCTTCTCATTTGCTCTTTCTTTCCTGATCCTTGATCTTATCTCAAGTTACTGGCAGGGTAACAGAAACAGCATTTTGGTCTAAAGACTGAATTTGTCTGAAAAACCTAGGGTAAGATAAAGCCAATAATGTTCATGTTATGAAAACAACTTTAAAAAATCTAGCATAGATAATTCCAAGGATACTTCACCATCCTCAGTTCACTCCGTTGAATACTATTTCTCGACTCTATAATATCAGAATTATTTAGAGTAAGATCAATAATGAGACAAATAATGACAAATCACAAACTTATTACAAATTATCCACATGTAGATTTAAAACTTAGCTTGACATACTATTACTCAATTAGCTGTAGTGATAGCAAGCAACCTATCTTTAGCAGCTATGGCAGAGATTAACAGGTAAAATAGCTGTATACTCACACAATCCAAAACTCACAACTTCTGTGCTCCATAGTGACCTATATAATGAAGATAATGCCATGGATCAAATGAAAAGAAAATTGCCTCGGTACATTTGTAACTGTTTTGAAGAGGCAGGTTATGAAACAGCAGATGCTATATGTGAGATGGACGATGAGTCTATAACTGACCTTGAGAAATATATTGATGAGAGAAAGGATGAACTGCTACATTGTATGCGACGAAATAAATGTATGTCCGAGCCATTCAAATTTCCTCCAGGACACCATGTTATTATCAAGAAGTTCATTTCATCCTTTAAGGGCCAACGATTATCCGTTCAAGCAATATCTGGCCCTCCAGCAAAAAAATGCAAAGCATCATCACTAGTATATGATGAGACTACATCATCACAAGCTCCACAGACACAAGTACCTGAAACAAAACAAACAGTCACTAATGATATCAGATGCAAAGTACAGAAATGGGTTAAAGATTATAATAAAGGAGAGCTTAACACTATGACAGAGGGGGATGATTACAGTATAGCTGTAAGTGAGCCAAAATCAAACTCTTCCATTTGTGAAACATCTATATCATGCAAATGTGGAAAGTCATATACAGTCAATATTGGGCCAAAAGTTCACTGTATGATCAATAATTGGTCAAAGCACGTAAGAAAGTGCCTAAGAACACCAAAAGACCAATCCAGACCAGCAACAGAAATAACTCATTTCTTTTCCCGACATCATTTGGCACTTACTGGTAATACGACATTATCCACAAATGAAGCAACAGCTGAGGAGGCAACATCACAATCGCTCTTCCCGATTACTCACTGTTCACAGTCCAATGATGACTCTCCACCATTAGAGTTGTTTCCTACCGAAATAGCAACTGAAAGTTATCATGCAGCTGAGTATACCAATGAACATGTATTACAAGATCAATCATTGATCGATAACTTGCAGGTGCCCCCTCTTCAACCAATTCCTACAGCATCGCCTCTTTCTCACTCCCCTTCTCCTTCACTATTAACAATGCCATCTCAGTTGCCATCAGAGCAGTCATTACAATCCAAACAAGAAAAATCTTCAACAAACCAGGTTTTTTAATTAGCCCCTCCTCTGTTTTAAGAGGAGGGGTTGAAATTGAAAAACAGTCTTCAAACTGGTCCCGATCTCGTACTGCTCGAAAACTCAGAAAATTAGAAATAGCAGGAGCTAATCCAGAACAGTATCAAATTACTGATTACTACAACCCAATAAATAAAATAGCTTACTTAGTAAAACAGAATGAGAAACTGCATTCAATTATTTCCTCAATAGCCACTTCTTCTCAAGTAACACCTGCAAAAAATGATAACGTAATGCCAATATTAAAACATCTCATGGAAAATGCTCAAAAAAATATTGGAAAACAAGATCGTCAAAGAAGACATTCGCTAATTTTGAAAAAATTTTCCACTTTGCTACTCATAAATTCTGGTTCAATGGCATACGATTTTATACATAGAAATATGCCAGAAGCATTGCCATCACTTCGCACAGTCCAAAATGTAATTTACAGAGAATATGTACCTTTGCGTGAAGGATATTTTCGCTTTGATGATCTACTACAGCATCTTGTGAAACACAAAGCTCCATTTATGGTTGCTCTGGCTGAGGATGCGACTAGAATCATTAAAAATGCTGAGCATGATGCAGTTTCAAATACATGTGTGGGTTTTGTTTTACCAGTTAATAGAGATGGCTTACCTTTACGTAATTCCTTCAATGTTAATACATTTGAAGATATTGAGAGTTATTTTCAGCAGCATACTATAGCAAAATATGCTTATGTATACATGGTGCAATCTCTGAAAGAGGGTGTTCCATCCTTCTGTTTGGCCTGCATTGGGAGTGACAACAAGTTTTCAGCCACTGATGTACTACAGAGGTGGAAATATATCAACAAAGAGCTGTCTCTTAGAGGAGTACGTGTCGTCAGCTTTGCAGCTGATGGAGATTCAAGGCTGATGAGGGCTATGCATGTTACAACACATCTAATATCAAATAACACCAATCTTTCTCTAAATAATGACACCACACCTCTCCCAATACTCCAAGGAAATCTTTCAATAAAAAGATGGTTATTTACTAATTTGTATGCACTTTTTTGTGTACAGGATATGGTACATGTAGCAGTCAAGTTTAAAACAAGACTGCTAAAGCCGTCAATATTACTACCTATGGGAGATTATATTGCTACTAGTGCTCACCTACACATTCTTACAAACATATATGGGAAAGAGAAACATGGGATGAGAAGGAGAGATTTAGACTCTAGAGACAAGCAAAACTTTGCAGCTATTGAGCATTTAATGAGAGCATCTACACTCCTAGAAAACATACCTGATGCAGTAGGTACCAAAGTATACCTTGAAATTGTCGATGCTTCAGTAAACAGCTACCTTGACAAAAGTTTTTTTCCTAAAAAAAGAATCAATGATATATGGTATGCTGTTTTCTTTCTCCGTTACTGGAGGGAATGGATTCACCAACATCGAGCATTTACAATAAAGGATAACTTTATCACATCAAATTGCTACACATGTGTAGAGTTAAATGCTCATTCTCTCCTGGCATATGTCATTTCCATAAGGGATATTTATAAAGCACCAGAATGTTTCACACCCTGGCAAATGGGATCGCAAAGTGCAGAGAAAATATTTCAATCATTAAGGAGCATGCAAGGCACATTCCCTTCAATTGTGAATTTTACCATGCTTGGAATGCTCCAAAGGTTACATAAATTAGCTATCAAAGAAGATTTGGAATCTGAATCTGAAAGAGAAAGTCATGGTATTCATCTTGCAAGGCTTGAAGGTCATAAGAAAAAAACTGGACATGGAAAAGTAAGCCCTTCTGACTGGAATTTGACAGATGAATGTATATTTGTTGCACTAAAAGAAGCAGAGGAAAGAGGCAAGTCAGCAGTTTCAAAACTTGGCATGGCAGATGAATTAAAAAGGGTCAACAAATGGGAAATTCCTCCTAAACCTAGTAGCATAATGAGCACCTGGAATGACGATGATGACGATGATGAGAAAGAAGAATATGAAATTGAACATAATGGCATAAATGAACCTAATGAAGCTGAAGATTTAAAGGACATTGTCAGTGATTTGGAAAAACTTCATGCCAATAACGCTATTGATAATGAACTTTTGAAAAAAGGGCAATCTATGGCCAAAATGGTGAGCATAGACATACCTTCAGTAGCAATTCCAATGTATCAGAATAAAATGATGACACCAGATAAAGATCCCAACAACTCCCTTTTTGTACCAGTCATTGTTAAAGGCAGGAGTATCTTCATCCGTAAAAAAAACAGCAGTATGGCTACTCAATGATGGAGAGAGGGTGTCCAGTGACAGAATCTTCCGTGTTCGATCACAACAGCCAAATGAATCCAAAGAGACTACCAAGCTTTCAACAATAATGTCAGATTGAGTCGAAAATCAACCACTCATCAGTAGTCATGTGGTACTAGGTGACTTCTTTGTCTTTTACGATGGTACAGAACCTAAAATAGGCAAAGTGTTACAATTTCAAAAGTTTGGCACAAAAGGAAAAAAGGTCAACTACAGAGCAAACTATGCCCCAGTTGGTGACAATTTCAAATTACTATGTACGTGGTATACTATTGATACCAAATCATGGCAATGTCACATGACAACAACTGAAAGCGTGTACATATTAATAGATGATTACAAATTCACATTAACGGTAGGGTACATCGAAAATCTAGTTCAAGATAAAGAACTAGGTTTTAAATCAGCCCTCCTTTCACTAACCAATGAATTTAAAGTTACTCCAGAGTGTATGAACTACATTGCCTCAGCTTGTGAAAAAAGCACCTCGACTTCTCTCATGCCCAGTCAAGCATCAACTTCTGGTTCAGCCTCAAACCCTATGATAATTGATGGTGATCCTAAATCAAATGAAACACAGAATGTTTGGGTTACAATTGAGAAACTACTTTTAAAAGTAAAAGATAAATTGGATATTGCAAATGAAAGAAGGATCACTGATGTCCACATATCGGCTGCACAGTTTTTACTAAAAGCTAGTTTTCCTCACTTGAATGGCCTACAGTCCACTTGCTATCAACTCACGAGACACCTACACAATGTTAAAAATTTAATACAAGTGTTGCACGTAAGTAATAACCATTGGGCAGTTGTCAGTTCCATTCCATCTGAAAATGATTCAGAGTGCTGCCTGAATTATTATGATTCAGTGTACTCAAAACTTCCGGAAAATTCCGAGCGAATTTTATCGTTTCTCCTAGCTGAGAATGGCTTCATTCAAGTAAAAGTGAACTGTGTTCCAGTTAAAAAACAAAGTGGCTCCTCAGACTGTGGTCTTTATGCCATTGCCAATGCGACGGCCCTGGCCAATGGTATAGACCCTCAGAGTTGTGTCTATCGACAAAATGAAATGCGGCAACACCTTATTCAATGTATCAGTAACAAAAAAATGACACTATTCCCCATCTCACAAACAAAACACCACATAACTACCTCGTTTTTCCAAATAGTTATATACTATTGTCCATGCAAGAGGGAAGATGATGGGCGTAAAATGGTTCAATGTGAGGTGTTGCAACTGGTATCATGAAGATTGTATCCCACCATTCAGTGAAGACAAATCATGGCTCTGTGAAAGTCGAGGTATCGGTAAAAGTTGTCCAGCACTCTGACAGATCTGTGATCTATTAAAACATAAACAGGCCTTTATTTAGACCATTATTGTATATACATGTACATGCACACAGCAATAATTTATGTCAAAATAAATTAATAAAACAGAACACACCTTATTACACACCCATATTTGGACTATCCAGGCCTAAAATCCAGATAAAAAATCCAAAAATCCAATTATCCTACCAAAAATCCAATTATCCTACCAAAAATCCAAAATAAGTATCAGTAAATCCAATAATTCAAGTGAAAATCCATATGAAATACTTGAAAATCCAGTAATCTAGGAAATCCAAAAAAAATCTAAAAATCATGGAGAATCTGGTAAAAATCCAAGTGGATTTTTTAGGATTTTAAATCTGGTACACTTGAGGGTCTCGTTGCGGACCCCTCGGTTTGTTTAGGGAAGACTGAATTTTGTAGCAAGAACTACAATGAGGACATTGTTTGCTTGCCTCCGTGCTCCACCATATGACTAGGTCACGTGATATAAGCCACACCTTTCACTGTGTAGGGCAAAAATTTGGTAGTTTACGAATTGGCTCGTACTGTCGCTAATGGCTAGTGAAAGTAATTGAAGAGACATTATTTACAGCTGGTAGTGATTAGTGGTTCTGTGGTTGCTTGTACAAATTAACACATGTGCATAGGTGTGGTGTGGCTACTGTGCATGTGTGGTGGTATGTAAATTGAAGGTGTTGTCAAAGAAAATGGCTGCTCAGTAGGATTTCATGGATTGAAGTCAAAAGCTGATTCATCACAAATAAAAGACAAAAGATCACAAAGGACTCTAAGAAGAAACCTATAGTGGTACTTAGAATGCTTTTAATTTATTTTTATGGCATAAATGTATGTCTTGTTGATAGTTGATCAGTTCTCAGCCAAGGGCTGAGGGGGGCTCAAGCACCATTCAGCCCCATGCTAGAAATGCCCCTGAGATTCTTGCTAATAATATGCAAGATCTTAATTAATTTTGGAAGAAGATTCTTGCATGTCAAATAATGAAAGCTCTTGCTGTCAAGATTCATGCAAGTTCATGCAAAATCAATTATGAGATCTTGTCAAGATCCTTACAAATTATAGCAAGATCCAGGGCATACCTAAGGGTGGGCTTGTGTGGGCATGTGCCCTATCAACTCAAAAAATTATTTTGTATATTAGTCCTATTAAAAGTATTACTCACTTTATTATGATGAAAGCAATGAGACAAGACTAGCACAGCTAATAGTTTTAGGCAGTGTAAATATGATGTTAACATGGTAGAGACTTCCATAATTTAGGCTGCCATTTTTGTAATAATAACTACTATTAACCAATCTGTTATTAGACTTTTTACTTAATTATTTAAATTAAAATTAATTGAGGGAAAAATGACTAAGAAACTGTACTGAGTCTTTTTGAATGTCTCCCCAAGGCCAGTACTACTACTAATGAAGAAAATATAAGCATTGAAGAACACGTCTTAGCTTATGTCTTAGCTTAATTTAGGGGCGGATTTAGGCGGGTGCTGAGGGTGCTTGAGCACCCCCATTAGCCCAAAGAGTCAGCATTTCTTTCTTCTGCTTCTTTAAGCTCTGGTGTCTCATATCACTGCTAAGTGTCTTAAGAAAGTTATTCAACACGCTTGACAATCATTTCAGCCTCAATTTCAGCATTTTCCAGTGCTTTAAAGGGCAGTAAGAAGCGGCAAAGTGCCTGAAATCACCGTGACTGCGCCTATATTATTCAAAAAAGCGCAAGCTAAGCTAAAGGGTGGAAAACAATATTTTAGCGCAGTAAAACGAAATGTAGTCAAAATCGCGGTGCGTTTTGTGCGCCGCATCTTTTCCTTCTCTATCCGACCAACTCTCATAGCTTAGATACGCTCCTGGCAAGATCTAACTTGATTTTTAAGCAAGGATCAAGTAAGACAGTGGGAGATCTTTCTCTCAAGATTCTATTAAGTTGTTGTAAATCTAAAGCAAGGTCTTTTTAAGTTTCTATTAAATTATACATTAAGATCAATAAAGATAGTGAGAAACTAAAAGTATATGGTCACTATGGTGTCACTCCTATGGTGTTTGGGAGGTGTTAGGCTTACCTGGCCAATCTGAATTGAAAGTAAATTTAGATCAATGTGGCCGTGAGCAAGTGTGAAAATTATCATGGGATTTTGGAGTCCCTTCAAAACTTGATAAATGTGTTTGTAAGTTGTATAGGATTTCAATATTTATCCATGATTTTACACTTTCATTTTAAAAATAGCATTGTTTTATTGTTAAGGTGTGATTAGGGGTATGGCTTTTTTGATATTGATACTGCTGTTCCTAAAATTATGATACATGCAGACACTATTTGAGAATGGCTCAGTATTGATTGTATTGCTAATATTTTGATGGTATTGCCAACCACCATGAGTGAACTGCAATTCTTTGTGAAAGATCTAATGCTTGTCGCTAATCTTGTTTAATCATTGTGTTATTAACTGTGTGATCAATGAACAATTAGTTGGTATGTGATCATAATTATAATAAGCAGGAAAAACTGGACTACAGGATTTTAGGGAAGATGAATATTGTCAGTGCTTCTTGAACTAGGATTTATGAAACTATATCTTTGTGCAATTTCACTGAATTATTGTAGAAAGAGAATTCCTTCTGCATTTCTACTGATGTAATATTGCTTGTTTTAACTTCTCTCTCGAAGTGACTGTACATTTATGTGCTGGTGTAACTTATAATAATAAGAAAATAAAATGTAAATTATGAACTAGTATTACCATGGTAACCTGAAGAAATAATTTAACAATAAGAGTGATACAAACAAGCTAAGTCCCAAAAAAGATTGAGTGAATTTACTTCACTTTTTTGTAAAAAAGTAATGAAAACAAATGTAAGAACAACTAACCCATGCTAGCTAATTATGAAGTAAAAATTTTACAAGGTTGTGCAAAATCCACTCTACTTTGCAAAGTGGTCCTAATTTTTTACATAATAACTTTGACAGCACAATGTAGAGGAGAATTTGTGTCATGAGAGTAGGATTTTCGTTTTGTATTTTTGTTGGCATATGTCAGTTATTGGATATCCTACTGTAGTATATTACTCTTATAGATACGATTATTCACAATCAAAAGATCCAAAAAGTAACCACAGAATCAAACATTTATATACTACAACACAAATTAAGAAATACTTTCACATTAACACAAATTATTATGAAAGGACCTACTACAGACAAGACATGCAACCAATGATTAAGTCTAGGCATACATTACAACACATTACA